GACCTGAAAGGAACTGGCGATAGAAACAGCGCGCCAATTTTTTAACGTAATTTGACAAAAAAATAACAAACATGTGTACAATTTATTAAATTCCGTTAGCTTACCCAAAATGTCTTTATTACCTACTTGTAATTTCAGAATAAAAACACTAAAGATTTGTTTCGACAGCAAGCTGGTATACCAGTAACACACTCTATCTAATTAACATCAGTCGTCGCTTACATATTAAATAAATTTTCCGCATATTTTTGAAAAACTATTTATATCAGGTTAAAGTGGTAATATCAAAAGCCATTTCCCTGTATGAAAAATTCCAAGTGAGTGGGCCGGATCGCGATGATAGTCGGTTCTTGTCTGTTTTATCTTATCTATTGTGTTTCAGCAGAATGAATCAACAAATTATTATACGTAACTGTGAAAATAATTACATTAAACAAATGTAGCTGTCTCCTCATCTGCTTGATTTTCTTTAAGGATAGGGTAGCTTAATTTTTCTCAATTTTTTTCTGTTTCCCTTTCCCAGTGAAAATAATATTACAAGATATATGGCGACATAAAATCGCTTGGAATTGAAAGAAAAATGGTAGAAGTGGATTACCTCACTGAGTGTTATGTAGCGTCTTAAGATATTTGAACAAAATTGTAGGAAGGTTCGTACTTTCTTTGGTAAGCCCAATGTGCGTTAATAAATATATAACCTGTGTCATGAAATGTTTTTGTTGTATATGGTCAAAACGTCAATATTCATGCCATTGATAAAGTAAAGAATGTGATTGTTAAAGAAAAATAGATGAATTAAATAGATTCTGATACAGTAAAAAAAAGACAACAACAGTCAAGAGAAGAGAAGTTCTTCTCTCGGCAGGTCTAGTTTACTAAACCGGTGGTAGTTTTTTGACGTTCAATAAGAGCTTTAAATATGCCTATATAGAATAAAGACATTTTGACTTTGAATTTGAAAACTTATAACTATGACATTTAAAAAAAGTGATTTTGCAGCAGTCGATTAAAAAAAATGTTAATCCGGTAAAAATGGTAGCTGAAGTCCATTCTTCCTCGTTTATGTAAAGTCAAGAATCAAGTTTCAACAGAGGACTTGCAATATAGTCTTATCTTGTCAATAAATATCAGTTGAGTTATAAATTAGGAGTCATGTTCACGCCTACGTACACGCTTATATACACATCAAGACTTTTATAATTAGCCAGTCCAATTTTGTTGTAGAACATGGGAACAGTGTGACAATTATACTTTTAAAATTGCCGTCAACGCACCGCTTTTGCTATCATTATTACCGGTGGAGATTAAGGGAGATATGATAGTTCGATAGAGCTCTGATGCAATTTGAACGGCCGATACCGACGCCTTTTATATAGTTCTAGTTGTCGCGGTGAATGGGCAATGCGGCACTGGACACCCCACCTACTTTTCGGTGAAGGTCGCTATCTGATACGAGTACCTTTCAGATAGTTTGGTTTTTTTTTGGAGTGAATAAATATAAAAGACTTGTCCAATTATTATCTGCCAACAGAAAATTCCATGCCGTCCGATTAATAAACCTTCTAGCTGATTCGTTATTCTGTTTATCTATAATTTAATGTGAGAAGTTGGTAAGCGACCAGGCGGTGCACTTGAGATTATGTGATCACCACCCATGGAAATCTACAACAGGTGATGGGTTGCACATTTCCACGGGGCAACGCATCTGTTGCCAATCATTAAGAAAGTGAGTCCCGGTTTTCTCACTCGCCAGACGAAACGCGAAAGTATAATACTTTCACTTCACGTCAGTCTTCTATGAGTCCTCGGTACTTCCCTGGGCGAGCTTTTGTAAAACAATTACAGAAGCTTTTGCGTAGCCCTACCATGGGTAGGGATGTACCAATGATTCAATAACCGATTTTGTTAGCCTTCTAAGACTGTTACATTTGTCATAAACCATAGACTTACGCCCGTTTTCTGAAACACTGATCATCGTAGATGTCAACTAACCAGCTGTCAAATGGCTTTTCAAATGTCATTTGAGTTGCCAAAATGATGGTTAAACCCTTTGAATTGATCATTCAGATCATTGAAGAAAGAAGACATCATCTACCACTATTTTGTCACGTTCAAATTTAAATCTGTGTGGGTTGGCCCTAATAAAAAAAACAGGGACCCAGAGTGACATTCTGATTTTGAATTTGAGACGTTCCGACATGTTTTGTGACCAATAAGTGAGGATTATGTACAAAAATCACTAAACTACACATTATTGCGTGTATCGGATAGATTTTAACTGCTTAATTGCCAAGAGCCTGCACATTCCGACATTGATTATTCATTCTTCTTTGCTTACAATTTCTAATTCAATTATAATTAATATCTATGACTCGTAATATGGTCAATTGACTTAGGCGTCGAACTTAGCCGATTAACAATTTTAGCAAATTAATGGAAAATATTTGTAAATTCATTATTGTTTATTTAATATTTGTTTGCCCTTTTATACTTTCAATTTTAATATTCCATTTTAAATTTACGAAAGCTAGTTTGAAGAAGCCTTAAACATAAATTTGATGTAAACATTATTAAAGAATTTTAGAGAAATGTACAAGGTGCTAACATATTACACAGCCCAATAATTTTTTCATTTTAAAAGTTTATTTTTCCTTCCTCTCTTTTTTATATTTATACATTATATAAGTTAGGTTTTTTTTTGTTTGTTCTAATTTTATTATTTTATTGTAGTGATAGTTTTATAGGTTACTGTTCTCCTTAAAGGAATTCTTTTTTAATATGTTGTGTTAACCTTTAATTTAAATGCATATATACCATGTTTAAGGGCACCTCATAATAATTGTTTCTATATGTATTTAGTTGGTAAGCCTTGTTGAATAAATAAAATAAATAAAAAAATAAAAACCCTAAATTTGAAACAAAATTTATGTCAAATACACAACATTCTAGCACATAACACGTATATAAATTAAAACTAAACTTGTATTTGACGTAAAAAACGACTGCTTTGCAAATTGTTGAATATTAGTCATTATTGTATAAGGACCGAGTTCATTTTCGCTCTGACAAAGTCAATTGAGCGTTCGTAAAGTTTTGGCTACTTCAAGGCCACATCTGGATATGCGGCAATATCGTTAATCTTAAGTTCATTGCCACGGCCAAACTATTTTGGGACGGAGTGAGGTTGTTAAAGCTTGCTCTTAACGACTTAGTAACGCTTACCGACTGTATGACTGCAGTAAACTATAATAGCCCTTCATAATAATTGATGTTAACTTTTTAAGTGATCCATCTAAATCATATATCAATAAAACCTCTTTGTTTGCGTTTTAAGATCGCGTGGGAGAGCAAACTCGCATTCGAACTAACATAAATTTTTAAGACATATACTTGAAATAAAAAAACACAATTGAAAAACCCGTACATATGTTAGTATTCGATGAAGTTAGTCAAAGTTTTGGTGACTCCGTGGCGTAGTTGCTAAGGTATTGGCTTCGCCGTTGGGTGTCATGGGTTCGATCCCACACTGGATAAGTATTTGTGTGACCCACAGATAAACCCACAGATCCGGAACAATTATTGTGATTGATTGATGAGTGATGGGATCTGGGTGTTTCTTTCCCAAGGACAGTTGACGTTAGGTAGGCGGCCGATCGTCAATCCATAGCAATACGCATAACATAGCCAATCCGCTTACAATATGATTCACATGTCGTGCCGACCCCACATTGATAAGGGCAGGAGAATGATGATTGAACTTGATGATGAACGGTGTAATTAAATAACTTGGAATTATAGGTAAAAAAGTTGTGATTGGTTGCCATGGTAATAACACGAAGTTGCTCGAAGGTGGTCTTCTTCGTCATGTCGTTTTTGGCTGCCGGTGCGCATCGTAAAAATGTTACCCTCATAATTTTTTCCAAACGCGCCAAATGTAGAATAATTTGAAAAACATTATGACATTTACAAAAATGCAATACAGGAACTATAAATGCAGTAGCATTAAATCATATGGTTATAATTTAGAGAATATTACAAAATTCGATGGGGAACTGGATCATTCGATGGTGTTATAAAACTTAGGGTGAGCTGAAAATTTTTACCTTTACATTGAAATTGGTTCTCGTAGCGTTTGCTTATTCACCTTTATTTTAGATTCATTCCGCGTGCAAAACTCTCCGCTCCGTTGATACATCTTCCTATAAATCTTTAACTGGATTCTAGAGCGTCACGGCATAGGTCAATGTAAGTCGATAATGACTTCTGTGCCATTAGTTTTAGTTGCGTAGGTATCTGAGACGCGCCGATATTGGACAATATATCAGTCGAACGCTCCAATTCACTTGGTAATATTACACACATTGCTAAATCAGGTATTGTTTTTCATTAGGTGAAGTATATAAATTATGACGCTTTTATCGAATAATCAATCATATTCAGTGATATCGTGAGAGCAAGACATAAATCGTAAACAACACATCAAAATGTTCCATAAGGTAAAAATACATTTATTAAAAAAAACGCTTTTGTACTTATGTACGAAGAAAAAGTAATACTTCTACTACTTTTTCTTACTTTCTCTTACTACTTTTTCTTACTACTTCTACAACTAAATTCAAAAAAATATAAACTTTATCCCCTGCGCCAGTACTCTTTGTTTGTGAAAAAAAACATTTAATACAGTTCATAACGTTTAAATGAATAATTTGGAAATATAAATATTTAATTCCAACATAAAGTATATACAGAATAATTTCCACGGTTAAGCCATGAACTATGGGTGCATGCAGAAATTCCGTAAGATTGAATTGTAGAACAGAAACCAAAGCCTACGGTTAACGCTAATATTTACGCTCTGATCCTACTAATATGAAAGCTTTACCATCTTCGAAAAGAATTTCCATTAATCGAAAGACAATTAAGAGGAAAGGAGCGTCTTCCTCCTTTAGATATGCAACATTTTTTTTTGTTTGTAGGTAACAGTTTTATGTGGTTTGATGATGTCGGCGGCATGTATGGTACTGCACCAGACACCGTTACCATTACCATTGTACCATCCAATCCAATATGAGGAACCAACACAAAGTTACAACTTCGGCTATGACGTCGACGACGTACACTCCAGGGATTTTAAGAGTCAACAAGACAACCGTAGAGGTGGTATAATATTGGGGCAATACTCTCTCTTGCAACCGGATGCTATCACTAGAACAGTCGATTACAGAGCTGATGATCATTTAGGTTTTAATGCATTAGTCAACAATGAGCGTAGGCAGAATAATTTACTTACTGACAGACAAGTCGAGAATGACAAAGATGTGTCTGATCGATCAACCAATGCAGGTACTCCATCCAGTCAGCCGTGGCTCATTAGCAGGCAACATGCAAGTCAAACACCGGTGACTATAACACAAACTTCGGTTTACCACCAGACCTATTCGAAAGGTCACCATGCTCGTAATTAAACCAAGTCTAAAATGAACAGCGGGAATAAAATTACGTAATGCTCACAAGCCAATTTTTGTTAAATGTGTCCTAATAACGCTTCATGTAACATGGATGAATGTATTATCGATAATAAATATAGTTTTGAAATAAATACGCGCATCCAAGTTTCATTTGTTTTTATTTAAATTTTATATCTAAACAAATTGACGCAGTGGATAGTGACCCTCTCTATTGCGCCAGACGGAGTGTCCGAACCCCACTACTGGAAAAATATGAGTGAACAAAGTGTTTTGCTAGTACTGTGTGTATATATGTCTATGATATAGATTTATTTACAAAATAAAAGTACGTTTCGTTACGTTGTACGTATGTTTATCACTTACATAGAGACCAAAGTACAAGCTTTGCTTACTTAGGGACTACATAATGTTGTGTAAAAATATATGGCGAAGTATTTATTTTATTAATTATTGTTATATCTACATATTTTGTTATGGCTGATTCCACAAATTCTTATAGCTCGATACTGATGTTTTGACGATATAATAAATAATATCAAGGCCCTCCTTTTATTGTCTGCTCGCAATTCAGGTTTATCAACAGCTAAATAAAGAGTCGTAAAACACTGTACGCTATCGAAAAGTTCAGATACATTGCATGGTGCATCGCCCTAACGAACTTGACTTTTAGATACTTCCTGAATTTCTTTCCAAACAAACAGGCTTGGTGGCAAAACTGGAATACTAGTTCACTTCATATAAATTCGCAAGAGCTTTGTGTGGAGCATCATAGTGCAAAGATTTCCCGTTGTATTCACAACTAAATACATCTTCAAAATGGCCATGAAGGTAATCCGTTTTACTAGCCCTAAGTGTTTTATAAGGCATGGGTAAGGTCTTATAATTTAGCAATTGATTTAAGTATTGAATACAATTGTCATGAAAAAAAAACAGATAATGATGCAGAAAATATGTTAGTGAAGTGAAAAAAAGTTTTATTTGTAACTTTAGGGATTTTTTAGAATAGCTGTATACGGTTCGCCTTATAATTTGCTCTAAATTAGGCTGTATGCATAGTAAATGTACAAAAAATTAAGTTACCCATGTGTAGTCAAAAAGTGTAATGATAGTAGTTACAAAAAACCGAGCTAATCCTACTAATTATAAAACTTGAGCAATAAGAAGAATACGGATATCAGACTTGTACTTTTTCTTCTTTTTTCTCCTGACCTTTTACCACCTGGATGGGGTCGGCATAACATGTGTGTTTACCTCATTTACGAGCCTGACATGAACCCGTCTTCGGAATAAATACCAAGGTCCGGAACAACTCTACTTCTAAATACTTGACTTGTGTGGGAATCGAACCCATGACCACCGACACCGAAGCCAACAGTTTTGGAACAGTGCCACCGACTCATCTGACACTTTTAGTTCATTTATTTCAATTAGTGAAATAAAGAAAAAGTTCACAAAAAGTCTTCAGTTTAATCCATAATTAGCATTAACATTACGTTCCCGTTTCCAGTGTCTGATGGTGCTCGCTCTCTTGGCTGTTGCCAATGCCGACTTCTCTAGCTTCTCCTATGGTGTCGCTGACCCCAACAGCGGCGATTACAAGAGCCAGATAGAAAACCGGGCCGGGGACAATGTGCAGGGCCAGTACTCACTCCTGGAATCCGACGGAACCCGTAGAACTGTCGATTACGCTGCCGGTGCGGAAGGCTTCAACGCCATCGTGAGGAAGGACCCAGCCTTGATCCCAGCCGCTCCCCTCGCCCTCCCAGCCGCCAGCTGGGCTGCATACCCTCGCTTCGCATACCCCTACCCCTACTACGGCCTCCTTTGAACCAACTTAAAACACGACTGCACTTGTAAATAATTGACTTGTAAATAAAAGAAATCTATCTCTTCAATATTTCTGTGGTTTCCTTCTTAAATTAGATGAGGTTAGACTTTCGCCTAAATTACTACTATAGACACGTAAAGAGAATGGGAGCATACCAATAAAGGTTACCACTGCCTTCGCATATTTCAAATGTCTTAACTATTTAATTGCCTACGACTGCGTACAATAGCGGTTAGGGAACGTAATTTAATTACAAGGTCATCGGACAATAAGGACATGTATTGCAACGATTTTGACACTGACGGAAAGATTTTTTAACAAAATCAAATAGGTATACTATTTAAATGTATGGTAAATTAAATAATTACCAAACTTATAATTAGGGTATCATATTATGATACATGCGCAAAGAAATTCTGTTGCTCACAAAAACTACTTGTATGGATTGGCAAAAACGCTTACATATTAATTAAATATCGTTTAAAATATATAGTAGAGTTTTTAATAAGGAAACGAAAGTGTTCATTTTATCTTGAAATGAAAGCACTCATAAATATGACACAATAAGTAATATCATTTATTATAGTAAAGGACTCTTAAATCACTTCTTAATATTCTGTCTAAGCCATCACATGTTTTCGCCGAAACAAAGACTAGTAATTCAACACTTCCCTTCGATTAGTTTTAGTGCTTAGAGTTATTGGGTATGTTGTAAACATATTTCCATGTTTATCATCGGACAAACAGAATTGTCAATGCGTTGCAAACAATTATTTTGTGATTACTCTTTAAAACCATTACACATCAATACAATAAAACTGCATTACTTTTGAAATTATGTCTTTAATTTGTTGACAGACAGTGAGCAAAGTAAAATTTAACTGCAATTTTTAAAGTACTGACAAAAATTCAAAAGGAAACTATCGTGTATTAAGCGCTAGAGGTAAATAACATTGCAGTGGCGTGGTGGGAATGCCCTACCGAGTTCCGCGTTATAGTAATATTGGTTCAACGTTAACCGGCCAAATTGAACTCTAAAAGCCACGCCGCGTGACCTAGAGCAGACCACTGTCTTTTACTTCCTATTAATAGCACACAATGATTGTGCAGGACTTGTATAAAATGACCAACATTAACCCAGATTGATCATTCGCAGTTCACTGTGCAGCAAAACATACTTACCAAAATGGCAGCTAAGGTAAATTATTTCGGCGCATTAAATCAATTTTATTATAATGGCTATTGCATCACTGCGAACTAGCATCTATCTCCTGAAAGATATGTTGTAACCTATGTTTAATAGAATTTCACAACTCGTGTCGATTACAATCCCTTGCTCCACTTTAATAGTAAAAGTATCAACACTTTGTGGGGTCACAGGAACTTCATTTAAAACGTTAAAGTTTTAATTCTGCTCTAGGCAATTAGCTAATTTAAAAATATACATTTCAGTTCGTCGTTATCGCCCTGTTGGTGGCAGCAGCTCAAGGGAGTGCGATCCATGGCGCTGACTATACCAGCTTCTCCTACGGGGTCTCCGACCCTCACACCGGTGATGTGAAGAGCCAGCACGAGACGCGCGTCGGTGACAGCGTGGTGGGCCAGTACTCGCTCCTGGAGTCCGACGGCCACCGCCGCACCGTCGACTACGCAGCCGGACCCCACTCCGGTTTTAACGCCGTCGTGCGCCGGGACCCTGCGCTGCTCGCCCACGCTGCCCCCGCTGTCGTCGCCGCCCCCATTGCCCACGCCGCACCCGCGGTGGCAGCGCCCCTGGCATACGCCGCCCACGCCGCACCCCTCGCCGTCAGCACCCACGTCGCTCCTGGAGCTGTGTCTTACTCCGCTCACAGCAGCTCCGTCGCCCACGGCTCACCCATTGTAGCCGCCCCCATCGCTTACGGCGCCGCCGCCCTCGGCTACGGCGCGCACAATCTCGGCTACGGTGCGCACGGTCTCGGCCTCGGTGCCCACGGTCTCGGCCTCGGTGCCCACGGTCTCGGCCTCGGTGCTCACGGTCTCGGCTACGGATACCATCATTAGGAACCGACTCTTAAACAACAACTAGGCAATAATAACGTAACAAGGGATATAATTTATTCTAACGACATGTGAGTAAATGTGTGAAACTGTGATTGAATTGATGAATAAACTTGGAATAAGTTTATATATATATTTTTTTTACAACCTGCCCGCTATTGCACTGCACTGCACACATCATAAATCGTTTACGTGTTATCTATCATATTATATTCACGTACTTCGGCTTGCTATTATTATGCACAGCAACATATAATTCTTAATTATTAAATGCATGATGCAATTTTTACACATATGTATATAACATAACAAGTTTTCGTAAAAACAAAAGAAAGACATAATTGGGCTGCCATCGAACAGGTGACTCGCTCAGGATGACATTTTTTTTACCTATTACAGAGGATTTTTGGTGCAGTGACTAAGAGACAACATACTTTTGATGGCTGCACAAATAAAGAGAAACTAGTGGAAGATAGCGCGTGTCTACTTTAACGTTTTTCTTCCTGTTGTCTTCGAACAAGCGGGCAGTCTCTGTTGCTACTCAGTTAGGTATCGCAATTTTATAAATTTACTGGTAAAGTGTAAGGAAATTCAGTTTTTAATTAGACCAAGTATAAATAGATGAAACTAAAAATAATAATAACGATCCATCATCATTTATGAGAAAATCCTGATTTATTTCATTCAAATAATTCAATTTCCATTTTATGAACGATAGTAGTAGAGAAATATCCACTTTGAAGGTAAACCGTATACAAGAGCACTGACCGATGCAAGCGACAGTTTAACAGTGGGAAACAAACTTGATATTACTAATTTATTCAAATGATAAAGATTAAGTAATTTAATGAAATCCAATGTGAATAAAATTAAAAAAGAACAATACTACAATGCCTCCTAAAAATGGGCAAGTTTTGGTCAGTTTAGAAGAGAAAGCTTTACGCAGTTTTTTAATGAAGGCAAATTCTATTCATTATTGATTGACTCCTTAAGAGATTCGAACATACTACATTGTAAAAAAAAAACAAAGATACGCTAGATTCACGGAAAAAAAAGTTATTACCTGGTGATGGGTTCTTTTCTCAAACGTCATCCCTCTCTATCGATTCGAACATCTTAAGCAACAGGCCTATCATTACATAGCACTATATCATTTAGCAAAACAGTGTTTATTTATTCTTCGCTTACTTAACTGCTGCTTACGAGCATTTGAACCTAAACCCTGGCAATATCTGGAACGTTGATGAAACGGGCCTTACACCGTATATGTATGTACCTAACAGAGTAATAGCTCGTATGAAAATGACATTTGACGGGAGGTGCACACTGGTGACAGTTTCTGTAGCCATCTCAACTTTTGGAAACATTGCTACCTTTCTTTGTATTTCCACTGGTACATTATAAGTTCCATTTTAATAGGGGCTGCCTGCCCCGTAGGATCAGAAGGTGATGCTAATTCATCACACTGAGTGAAGGAGAAAACTTCATTAAGTACGCCAAACATTTGGTGCAACATGTTATCAGTTACTTAATTTGAACGAGGAACGGAGATTTCGTTCATTGTTTCTTTACAACTGATGTTAAGTGATACCGCCAGTCATTGGTACCCACTTACACACTCCTGAGAGCTTGTAGATTCATTGACAACCTTTAAAATAATTGGGCCCCGGTTATTTCACCATTGTATCAATATAATCTTAACTAATTCTGTATTTTTACAGAGAGTAAAAAAACGCACGTAAGGCGTACTTTGTCTTAAATCCATTCTACATAACTGAAGTATTTTCAAACAGAGTCCTAGATTCGATTGTTCATGTAGCAATTTTTTGTTTAACACGCAATATACATAGCTCATATTGTTTCATGCAAATTACTCCAATCCGGAAGCTGCCAACGATTTAATTACGTAAAAGCACCTTCGTGCATCAAACACTTCATAAAAATGCTGTAAACAAAACCTTGATAGGGGTATAAATGAGGAGCGAAATCATCAGGGTTGATCAGTTACGTTACTAACGTCGAAAACAACACACGTACAATGGCAGCAAAGGTATACTATTTTGAAAGGAAACTTTTTAGTTAATTTTTTCTTATTAATTTGTAGCATAATATAAACTTTTCATACTTAGTTAACCTGATATTTAAACACCACAGTTTGTAGTCCTCGCTCTGTTCGTTGCTGCTGCGCAAGGCAGCGGTAGCCATGGTGAACACAGCAGCTTCTCCTACGGCGTAGCGGACCCTCACACCGGAGATGTCAAGAGTCAGCACGAGACGCGCGTCGGTGACAGTGTGGTGGGCCAGTACTCGCTGCTGGACTCCGACGGCCACCGCCGCACCGTAGACTACGCGGCCGACGCCCACTCCAGCTTCAACGCCGTCGTGCGCAGGGACCCCGCCGTGGTCGCTCACGCCGCTCCTGCCCTCGTCGCCGCACCGGCCCTCCGCGTCGCCCCCGCTGCTTACGCCCCTGCTGTGTACCCTGCCGCCGCTCCCCTGGCAACCTATGGTGCTTACGCCCCCCGCCTGGCGTACGCTGCACATGCTTCTCCGTTGGCGTACACAGCCCGTGCCACACCTCTGGCATATGGACACCACGCTGCGCCCCTCGCTCATGCCACCATTGCAGCACCTCTGGCCTACAACACTTACGCCGCACCTCTGTCTTACCGTACCATCGCTGCACCTCTTGCCTACGGCGCTGTCGCGTACGGTTCCCATGGAGCTTATGGAGCCTATAGACATGCCGCCCGTTACAACTATTAAATTGTTTATGAACGAAACGGACCAATTTGTACAATTATACTATTATTATTTATTGAGAAAATAAAAATATTTAATCCATCTTGATGTGTGTCACCACTGTGCTTATTTCAAAATATAAGTTCAAAGTTACCAGTTGAAATCCGCCTTTTTTCATTATCCTTAATGCCATCAGCACTAATGCCCGGTTTCTGAAGTTCTCAATAAAATTCAGATTTGCTATTGGTTCAATAAAGTTATACTTAATATAAACTTTATATTAAGTTTTACATATGGTAAACTATCACTGCGTTTCTGAAAACTCAACGAACCATTAAATAACTATGGAATCATTAAGATGTCCCTTGTCTTCCGCAAGATGGGTTAATTATTCATTTTTTAATTTATCAAGTTTAAAATTAGATTTATTTTAAAATAATAGTATTTGTTCTTTACTTTTAATTCTAATAATATTTTTATATAACTAAGTGGTTAAGCACTTGTTTTAGCAGCAAATTTCATAATGTTCATTAATAATTATCAGCGAATGTATCTACGGCATCATTATCTAATAAAAATTTCAAAAGTTCCTAGCTCATTGTACTGTCGTTGACTTTGTTTTGTATTGGGCTTGGTAATAATAATGTTTGTTACGTACATACTGAATTTGTTTTTTATAAAGCAAATTGAAATTTTATCAAACCGTATAATATAGTGTATAGTAGGCGTATCATAAAAACAATCTATGAAAATTATTTTTAGAGTAAAAGGTCTCTTTTGAATGCGAACTTACGCTTTGACATCCTGATTTTCGAAAGGTCGATAAAAATATTAGACTGAACAAAGAAAGATGAATACATGAAACCAGAACATAATACAAATTGCATTAAAACAATATGATTATTTTTCGAGCAAAAGTTTTGACTGTGGATGAATAGTACATAGATTGAAAGTGCGATAAGTAAGACGGATTGGAGGAAAATCCAGGAAACATAAAAGGAGTGGACGACTTTCTTAAGGAGTGTCATTGACAAATAGGCAACCACAGAAGTTGTGAACGATAAAAAGTCTGATTAATGGTCATTCTTACGAAGATTAAAAAGAAAGTATGCGGGTATAAACGTTGGTCCTGCGTATAAAGGTAATCAGTACCTAGAAAAATATAACTCACGTCGCCATAGATATGTAAAGACTGTAGGAGAGTTAATTTCGGTTGCCAAGGCAATTTTTTAAAACATTTAAATTGTGATACTTTCGACTACTTTCTCTCCAGTTTAGTGTTATGTCAATTATGGATATTGCATATAAATTCATAATAATAATAATAAATAATAATAAAATATCTTTATTCACATAGACGCTTGCGCGTTCTTATGAAACGTCAAAATTTTACAAGAAATTAACACGTTCGTAAGTTACCACCGGTTCGGAAAGCAGTTTCTGTTGAGAAGAAGCCGGCAAGAAACTCAACAGTTGCTCTTTTTTAAAAAATCAGTTTACAATTACATATTTAATCTTTTTCGAGTTATAAAACAATAAAAAATACTGTCATATTTTAATTAGCGAATACTCTAAAATTTGTAGAAAAAGACGAAAAGATTGTCGCCGCTGTGGGAATCGAACCCACGTCTTCGGCATTCGCGGCCTGACGCTCTAGCCACTGAGCTAAACGGCTGATAGCCACACAAAAACGAAAATCTTAATGTCTTTTATCTACATTGTTTTTTTAGCATTTGAAGCATTGCTTGGCGCATTCATTGTTATATCCTTTCCAGCATACAAACGAGCATAATAGATAACCATAATTAGAGCGAATACTCTACTGATAACGTTCATTTCTTCCAATATTATTGTATTTCATTGCCTTAATGAAATTTTAAAATTTTAAAAGGATTCTAAAGGAATATTTATCAGATATACCAGTGCTATAAAATTGCTGGCAGTAATTTATACAAGTGTGTCATATACTCTTATTTGTTATAAGAAAGGTAAAAAATCAACCAAAAAATTAAAATTCCCTGGTGGATCATGCTGATGGACCTATTTTGTTGTACAAATAGATTTATCTGAACTACTATCTATGAATTACCTTAATGGTTATCATGCTTTTTATATTCTTGCAAATGGTTTTATTTATATAATTTCGGCTGTGAACAAGGAAGCCATTTTCAACGCAAGAATGGCCACACACTTTCATAAGTTATCTTTACTGTGTTAAAGAAGAATAGTTAATGTTTCATAAAAAATAGTTGATGAGGTGACCACTTAAAATATTCTACTATCCATGCAGTTTAAATTATTCATCACTTGGAAAAAATAAAACATGATCACTTAATTTTTATGGTTCTATACCATATATGTTTTATACATTATGTTTTTCACAGGAGGGTTGATCTCAGGCAGGCGGCGGGTCGTAAAAACAATGCCAAAACCGGTTAAACCAAACCTTACAACATGGTTTCCATGTTGTGCCGACCCCACCTAAGTCGGATAAGGCCAAGAGGATGATAATGAAGTTGATGTGTACGTGTGTACGGTAGTATGTATTTTTTTAAGTGAGAAGATGGCAAACGAGCTGGTTGTTCACCCAACGGTAAATGATAACCGCCGCCCATTGACATTTGCAGCATCCGTAGGGTTGCAGATACTTTGCCACCTTTGAATAAAGTAGGTCCCCGGCTACCTCACTCACCAGAAGAAACGCAGAAGTTTAACACTTCCACTTCACGCCTTTCTTCTGTGAGAAGACTGTTGCGTGGAACAGTTGTGAAAAATGTAAAATACAAAATAACTGATTAAATATTTTTATTATCGTATCACAGTACAATTGAATAGCTTTGGTCGGTTTCATTCAAGAATATATTACCAGCCGTAACGGGCGGCATGACCGTAGGCGCCGTAAGCTCCGTGGGCACCGTACGCGGCAGCACCGTGGGCAAGAGGTGCAGCGATGGTGCGGTAAGACAGAGGTGCGGCGTAGGTACTGTAGGCCAGAGGTGCTGCAATGGTGGCATGAGCGAGGGGCGCAGCGTGGGCTCCATATGCCAGAGGTGTGGCACGGGCTGTGTACGCCAACGGAGACGAATGTGCGTATGCCAGGCGAGGTGCGTAAGCACCATAGGTGGCCAGGGGAGCGGCGGCAGCGTACACAGCAGGGGCGTAAGCAGCGGGGGCGACGCGGAGGGCCGGTGCGGCGACGAGGGCAGGAGCGGCGTGAGCGACCACGGCGGGGTCCCTGCGCACGACGGCGTTGAAGCCGGAGTGGGCGTCGGCCGCGTAGTCTACGGTGCGACGGTGACCATCGGAGTCCAGCAGTGAGTACTGGCCCACCACGCTGTCACCGACGCGCGTCTCATGCTGACTCTTCACATCTCCGGTGTGAGGGTCGGCCACGCCGTAGGAGAAGCTCCCGTACCCACCATGACTACCGCTTCCTTGCGCAGCCGCGACGAATAACGCGAGCACTACAAACTGTGAGATTTAAGATATAATGTTTCGTTAATAATTTAGAACAAAAAGTTTTATTCACATTACTCAACGAAAGACTTGAATAGAAAAATTAAAATGTTTATTTCGCAATCACATACCTTAGCTGCCATTGTACGTGTGTTGTGTTCAACGTCTGTGATTAACTGAATAACCCTGAAGTTTTTGTTCGCTTTTTATATTCTCGCGAATGGTTTTATTGATATAATTTAGGGTGTGAACAAGGAAGCCATTTTCTACGCAAGAATGGCCACACACTTTCATAATATATTTTTCTGTGTTTATGAAGAATGGTCAATGTTTTATAATTATCCCATTATTATATTCATTTTACGGCAAATAAAGTATTTCGAAAGAACTCAAGAACTTAATTTTCATTTACAAAGCGTCCATTGTCATTCATACAATTACAGTACAATTTGTAAAGATCAGTATGTACACTTTTGGAATATTTAAAATAATGTGTAATAGTACACATTATTTCAATATAATTGTATATAGAATTGTCATTAAAACTTTAATGATTCAATTTCATTTTGTCGGCCATCACTAAAATTAATTGAAAACCTAATAAAACTTCGACTTACCACAGGATCACGTAAAAGCTTTTGTTGCTTCGCTATCCCATGGTTTTTCGTTATTCACTTAACATCCGGTGAACCGCCTGCTTGGTTGACATTTTTTCACATAAAATAATGATTTCATAAGAGTGAAAGATGGGTACTCACACTATCTATAACTTACTATACTATAACCTTCGATTTTCGAATTCGATCTTTGTGGAACAAAACTGTTAACATCGTTTTAATGGTGCGTTGGATTCCGGGGCATTAATACCAGTTTAAGCCGGATTACGAGACAGCAAAAGTATTTCTCCTACAACCAAGGAACTTACTTAACAATCTGCGACAAAACATAAACCTTACAGTAGTAAAGTTCTTTTGAATTGTTTATATTATTATACAAACTACCATAACCTTATATTTCGAATAAATCATCATCCTCATCACCAGTCTGCGGTAGACCACTGTTGCATCTCTCTCCTCATAACGCAAACTATGCCGATAGATCCTTAGCGATGCACAGTCGTCACCAGCAGCCTTGCTTAATATTATTAATTTGTTCATGCTAAACGATAAAAAAAATATTAAAAAGTTGGACAATTGTACATATTTTCCCCCATTTACTCGTACGATATATAATGTCTATTAAAATATTCAGTCATGTCACGAAAAAGCTTAACTTTTAAATTAGCTTTTCATTATTAAGCGTCCTGTAACGAGTTTTCGGAAAGTTATATTTATGAGTTCACTTGCGACCAGGCTTAATTTTAAATACCTTAATTTTGGTACACGGTGATAACCTAGCTCGGTTGTGTGTAATTAATTTTAAATTTTAATTTATATTGCCTCAGAATTATACAAAGGGAAATTTATACCCATTTTGTTTTTCCAAGAGTGGTTAAGGAAGACTGCAGCCATGCATTTTGTCAGTTTAATTTAAGACTTATAATGATCACATTTTTATTTTTATTTTATTATATTATATAGAAATCGTATTTACATTCATGCCATTTCTAGGAAAGAGTGGCAAGTTCTGTTTGCAAAAAAAGGCAAATTAAAGCAGTTCCTTATTGAGTCCTAGTTAATAAGAATATACATTTCAAAGCAGTTATGTGTTCCATATATTTTTAGAAAATTACGATTTGTTCTTCGCTTGTTACAAAGAAGTGAAACTGTATAAAAGAGGTGTCTTTAAAATCATTTACGAAGACTCATTTCATTGAAAGCCAACTACCGATATGCTGATTTATTATCTAATATATTTACATTCATAGCAAATCAACTTAATTAAAATATTAAGGTACATATCGTAATTACTATGTATATAAGTGATGTAAGGTTAATTCATGAACCAAAAAGAAACGCCATATGTTTGCTTTCTACTTCCCGCATAAAATTAAACATGCCGTTAAATCGTATTACAAATAAATAGTTTCAGGCAAGTTGATTTAATAAGTTTCTGAATTATAACGCCCTATATTACACGAAAGAATACCTTTTAAAAATTAACACATTACTTACACTATCTATTTAAACTTTTGTTGTGATCATTAAGTGATAGTTATTATGGGTTTTAAAACAACATCATAGAAGAGTGGGATTCTAAACGAGGAATGTTGTATTAACTAAAGATATATTTTTACAAGACGACATAGTATATAAAAATAAAATATGTACTGCATAAAGAGAACGAAAAGTGTTTCAAAACGAAAAAGTATTTATTATAAAACACTATTTTTTTTACCTAATTTAACGAAAACTATCTTAACAAAAGGAATATTCTTGTATCTTTAAAATAAAGAATGACCTTGTTCTAATAAATATGCAAATTTAACGAACTCAACAAAAACGGAATTTCTACGCTAATATTCTTCGCCGACTATCGATCCGCTTTATGATTTTTGTCTAAACCGTATTCTGATCTAGTTACCGATAAAATTTTACAACCAACTTTAGAGGTTGATGAAAAGAATGGGGTCCTTGTAAACTCAGCGCACTTGGTCTGGCCATTTCCTACTACAAATCCGATTGCGTATGGCGGTAACCGTACGTAATAGTGAATTAAACGGCTATATAAACTCGTTCATTGTTTAACGTCTATCAGTCGAAACGTAGACAAGACTAATACTACACTACAAAATGTTCTCAAAGGTAATTAAGTAAAGTTCATATGTTTTATTTATGATCAATTATTGTTATATCTCTTAGATAACAGCTGTTGAAAAATATTGTTTGGATGACTACTAAAACGTTTTTTGATATTGTCATATAAAAGTCTATCAGCCAACGCATGAATAAACTACTTGAAAATAGAAAAGATTTCATTTCGATTCCTTAAACCTAAATATATTTTATTCTTAAAATTATTCTTAAAAAAATATTATTAAGTTTATTTTTTATATAAAGATAAAGGTAGGTAAATTTAATTTACTACAACATAAATTCTTTGAATTATAAAAGCGAATTGAAAATTACACGTGTGTTTATTTTAATTTCTTCTTTCTTCAGCATTAAGAAAAAAAATCTTCTAAATTACTAACGTCATATTATCAACCATAATTGTCAAAATCCAGATCTCAAAATTCTCTTCTTTTGTAAAATGATAATGAAACGAAACGTAAACTAACAGCATTAGTCTTAGCAGCTAGCACGTAATATGAATAATTTTCTAAAAACCTTATCGTTTCAATCTCACAGTTTGTAGCCCTCGCCTTATTCGTTGCGGCTGCGCAAGGAAGCGGTAGCCATGGTGAATACAGCAGCTTCTCCTACGGCGTGGCCGACCCTCACACCGGCGATGTGAAGAGTCAGCAAGAGACTCGCGTCGGCGACAGCGTGGTGGGCCGGTACTCGCTGCTGGATTCCGACGGCCACCGCCGCACAGTAGACTACGCGGCTGACGCTCACACCGGCTTCAACGCCGTCGTGCGCAGGGACCCCGCCGTGGTAGCTCACGCCGCACCTGCCCTCGTCGCCGCACCAGCCCTCCGCGTCGCTCCCGCTGCTTATGCCACCGCTCCCCTGGCAACCTATGGCGCTTACGCCCCTCGTCTGGCATACGGAGCCCACGCTGGTCCCCTGGCATATGGCGTTCATGCCGCTCCCCTCGTAACGGCACACGCAGCACCCAGCGTGTCCTACTCTGCGCACAGCTCGTCTGTTGCTCACAGCGGTCCTCTCGCTCACGCCGTTGCCCCCATTTCTTACGCTGCATACCCAGCACCTTTGGCCCACGGTGCCGTAGCTCACGGTGTCCATGGTCTTGGCTACGCCCGCCTGGCTTGGTAAACTTTCATTAAAGGTACCTCCGCGCTGTGATCCCATTTTACGTATAATCAACCCATCGAAATAGTCTTGTTTAGTTATTCCCGTTATGCCATTTAAAGGCAGGTTCCGATACTCGAATGTTTAAGTTTTAGCCAATTTTTGCGATCTATGTTTAACGTTTAAACTTTACGAAATAAACGTACTTATTTATTCATGAGTTGTAGTTTTATTCGTCTTTATATTCTACTTTATGTGTCGTAATTTTTTACGTTTTGCTCTTCTCGTTTATGTCAATATTATTTGACAAAAATTATAACTTACTACTACTGTATTTAATGATCCTTAAAAATTGCTTTTTATGGATGACACCACTAGTTTCACATGGCACAAATCAATTTAAAGAAGTACACAAAAGACTAGGGTCAAATGAAGGATTAAACCTAAATTTAAACTCTATCTAATTTGTAGACACGTAAGCGTTAATACAGGTCTAATTAACCGACTTCAAAAGGAAGAAGTTATCAATTCGATTGGTATATTTTTTAATTATATATTTAAATCTTTATACACAAAAAGAAATCTTTGTACAAAGGAGTACTTAATACCAAAGGCTATTTCTGCCAGTCAAACTTACGGGTGATCCGGAGAAGTTGAGGTAGGTGAACAAATTTTATAGTGCGCCTGCACAAATAACTAAATTATACCGCTTCTAAATAAACTATTTTAGTACACACATTTCCTGCACGACTAGTTTTGTGATGAAAAAAAAAACTCTCCAAGTTTGGCCCGTCCTTGATCTTAAATACAAGGATTTAGTTACGTAATGTAACAAATGGATATAAAACAACTAGTACGTTAGTTTTTTTATGAATCACTACCTAACAAACTGAATTTACATACCTACCATTTAAATTTGAACTTTTGCAAAATGTTGTTCTAATGATCAACATTTCTGATTACGGAATAGATAAAAGCGGTACCTACCTGTTTCTATTTGTGTGTACTCCAATTAATCTACAATATGTTTTTTAGATTTTGAAACTAACAGTAACTCAAATAGATGTATTATCTTTATATTATCTATATATATATATATAAGAGATTTTCACCGATAATTGACTAATATAATATATCTCTGGAACCATAAGGTGTAGAGACTTGAAATTTGGTAGGAAATCCGGCAGCTAGTATAGTATAAAACAAAGTCGCTCCCGATGTTTGTACGCTTAGATTTTTAAACAACGCAACGGATTCTAATGCGGTTTACAGCTTTAGATAGTAATTCAAGTGGAAGGTGTATACATAATATACATGCATATTATAGTAGAGAAAAGCCGAAAAATTCAAACACTAGTCTGGGGCTGTCTGATACTACCTCAATGGTGATTCATAGAAGATAAATCCGATTGTATATTTAATCACTCTTAAAGTTTGAGGATGAGCCTGCGCTCATGATTATTTTTTTTAAGTGATTAATTTAATTTGTATGAAGTAGAAATTAATAATTCAATAAAGGAAATTATAGAATGGTTAAGAAACAATAATTTAAAAATTAATTTGGAAAAAACAAAAATTATGCATTTCTATACATTGCCAGAGTTACCAAACTTGAACATTAATTACGATGGAAAAAATATTCAAGATACGGATGTTACAAAATTCCTGGGTATAGTAATTGACAAAAAATTGAATTGGCAAGAACATGTTATTAAATTAGCAAAACAAATAAACAGTTCTGCTTACGCATTGTACAAGCTATCATCTTTAATAAATTTAAATGCATTGTTAACTGCTTATTACGGACTCGTTGATTCCAGGCTGAGATATGGCATAATGTTTTGGGGAAACTCTATTTATAAAGATTTGGCCTTCAAAGCTCAAAAAAGATGCGTTCGTGCCATTTTCAAACTAAAGACGATGGAAAGTTGTAAAAAATATTTTAAAGATAATAAAATTCTGACACTCACGTCCTTGTATATCTATGAAACTGCTGTTTTTGTAAAAAGCAACCCCACATTGTTTCCACTGTTGTCAGATGTTACTATTCGAAACCGGCGGGACCCTTGAAGATTATGTATACGCAGGGGTAGAACAGCACGTATGCGAAATAGCTTTTTTTGTATGGCTCCAATAATATATGTCGGCGTGAAGACGTCACTCGAACATTTTATTAGTATCATCGTTTTATTAATTTCATAAAATATTACAATAATAATTTTAAATTGTATTCTCTTTCAATCATTTTTGTTTATCTGATAAATAATTAGTTTAGCTTATAAAATAATCACTTCAACTTTTCTTGTAATTAAAAAGTGAGTCGGAACTTGGCTCACTTTTTAAATGATAAAGTTATTCTAATAACCCTATTCCAAATAAATAATTATCAATGTAATAAAAACTTATGATTTAAATGACTAATTTTCACCAAGAGTAATCTTTTTAATAAATTATAAAATGTTCGAGTGATGTCTTCACGCCGACATATATAATAAGATACCAATGAATATAAAGGGCTTAAATATTTTAAATTTTAAAAAGAAACTGAAGTTAATCCTTTATGACAGAAGTTATTATAACCTAAGTGAATTTCTTAATGACAATTTAGATGAACCTTAAATGTAAATGAAAATTTAATAATACTAAGTGTATAAATGTTATTCTAAGTCTACAAGTATATTTCATTAGATATCATATGTTTTTATACCACCGTTAACTTATAGATCTAATTAATTAATTAATATTGTTTCTGCCTTCAATTTTAAACTTATTATTAAAATTAAATATATTAATCCAGGTGCTAAGAACAGCACAATAAATATTTGTACGCTCGTCTGGAGCAAAAAACATGCGAGATTTAATTTTATGACATAACATCACGTTGCATTTGTACAACCATGTTTTTTACAAATAAAGTTTTTATTATTATTATGTTGGGGGGATATTCATTTGTTTTCTCGTCTGGTTGGGTTTATAAATAAAAATAAAAATAAAGATATAGATATATATTGCATATATAAAATAAATATTATGGATAAAAATAAACATGTATATATATATATATATATATATATATATATATATATATATATATATATATATAAATATTTTATATAATACATATATAAATAGGACCCAACCAGACGGAAACCCTCGGCAGGGGAGACCAAACGGCCGAGGGTTAGGGCGAAAGGGAGAGAAACCGGCGGACGATGCGGGCGGTATCGAGGAGCACCGCCTTCTGTATTTGAGCCTGGAGCGATCCGTCCCGGAGTCCCAGTCGCCTCAGATGTTTAGAGAGGCTGACTGGGATCAACCCATTCGCAGACACGACTATCGGGATAATTTCGGTCGGCACACCACCCCACATGTCGGTCACCTCGTGAGCCAGGTCCAGATACTTCGTCTTCTTATCTGTTTCGGCTTTCACGAGGTTCTCGTCATATGGAATGGTAATGTCGACCAAAAATACCCGCGACTGTGCCAGGTCCATCAACACGATATCAAGTTTGTTCGCGACAATCGTCCTGTCCGTGATGATGGACCGGTCCCAATAGAGCCTGGCGCGGTCATTTTCGAGCACGGCCTCCGGAGAGTACTTATAATACGGCAGTTTCCGTTCCACGAGGCCGTATTTCAGAACGAGCTCCTGGTGTAGGATTCTGGCTACTAGGTTGTGTCTATGCAGATACTCAGAGTTAGAAAGCATGGAACAACCGGAGATAACATGCCGAAGCGACTCCCCGGGATGGCGACAAGCTCGGACAGATGTCGACGGTGCCATCCCTTAGGATGTATCTCCGATAGTTGTTCGTCTTAATAACCTGATCCTGTATCGCACAGACAAAACCTTCGGTTTCCCCAAAGAGGTCACCGAAACGTAGCCAGTTAAGGGAGGCAACAGTATCTACGAAAGGCTCGTGTAGAGCCTTGTAGAACCTCCCGTGGAGCTCTTTCTCCTTCCATACGGCCTCTCGGTCGGAAACGCTCAGTACTCCCGGGTCCTGCCATTGCTCGTTGGCTAAGGATAGAGGGGTAAGTCCTTTATCACAACTAATGACGTCCGTGTAGATTGACTCATCCGATCTCGCCAGGAAGTAGTTGCGGAGGCTGCACACCTCGCGATTGTGCATGATAAGGGCGCTCAAAAAGCCCCTCCCGCCATGCTTCCGCGGCAGGTACAGCCTCATCACTGACGATCGGATGATGCATTCTGTGGGACGTCATAGTTGTGCGGACTTTTCGGTCCAGGGCATTGAGCTCAGTTTGAGTCCACCTGAGTATGCCAAAGGTATACATGAGGACTGGCATGACCCAGCCGTTAAATGCGCGTGCCTTGTTCACGCCTGACAAATGGCTGTTAAACACCTTTGTCAGGCGTGCAAAAAACACATCACGAACTGACTGTTTCATGCCAGCCTCATCGATACACATGTTATTATTATTATTATCAAACACTCATAGAAAAAATCGAATAATGCGCATTAGAAAATGATACTTTCAAGAACGATCACATTATTCGTGCCATTTAAAACAATGTGACCCTGTTGTTTACGCCTACCAAATATTAAGAGCAAGTAATTGGCCACGGCTTGGCCTGTGTGGATTTTCATTCCGTGGATGGCCAATGGACTTATAATAGGGGCATGAAATTGCGCAGAACTATAACAAAGTGACCGTGTTTTTACCGGTATAAAAACTATCATGTGTTATCTCTAAATCATAAGAAGTTTAAAAAATAACTCTAATCCAATGCTCCTTTGCTGTTTCAAAATTGTATCATTTAAAAAACATACTTTCCAATTTTTATATTACTAATTCCTAATAAAGACGAAGCATGGTTCATATGCTATGGTTGATGTTTCAAATTACTACTTTCTAACTCACAAATTCTCTGCATACAGTGACCTAGAATTTGTGTGAAAATAGTTTTACGAAGGATAACTCGGTCTGTGCTAAGATATGCAATAATTATAATAGGCAAATTTAAATGTAACGCAAACAACTAACTTTATAATTTTATGACTGCCTTGAGTTAAAATCTAGGGCATATAAACTGG